AAAGAGCTATTTATGGTGCTTCTGTCATACTTATGAAGTGAACTTCCCTAACCTATGAGGACAAAACCACAAGGGCAACCCTGTTCTTTATAGCACTTTCTTAGTGCTACCTTCAAAAACAAAATATTTGAAACACACACACACATGCATAAACACATACACTGAATAAGCCAAACCGTAAGCAGTAGCCTAAGTTTCTGCTTTACTTACCTGGCACAATTTGGTGTTGGGAGGCAGCACTTAACAGTGACAGCATTTGCTGATATCACAAGTTTTTTCCTCTTTCCTTAAGCAGTTTATAAAAGGTGGTTTCTGAAACCCTTCACAATAGAAAAGCTCAAGGGTTTACATTCAACTGTGACACCACTATGAATTCATTAAGAAGTATGTTTCAGGGTGTACTATAATTTCCCTATGTAACATAAACCCATGGAATCTGACATAAGCTGATTGTTCATGCTGGTTATTTTATTTACATTTCTGAAGGGAAGAGATTTCAATACTTATAAAATATCGAACTGATTTACTATTTTTCATGTTTTTCCAAAGCAGCTATTATAAAATAGGCATAGAGACAAAAGTCTCAACTTGTATAACTAGTTAAACAACCAGAGAAAAGTTATTGCTCAAAAAGATAATTCAGTATGGAACTGAGGCCAAATAAGAGATATGGTTACTTTTAATGCCATCTGAAAGATAAAAGTTAAAAAAAAAAAAGTAACTATGTACGTTATTTTTGTCCCAAGTCCTGTGGGAATAGATGGTAACTTCACAGGAACTCAGGGGGCCTGGAGTTAATATTTAAGTCTTTCTCTGGAGACCTCGGTGTTAGCAGATACAGTCTAGTATAAACAGGAACACAGGTAAATGGGTGTGAGCTCCTTACATCCAAGAAATGTGAATGTGCCTCCTTACCAGCATGTTACAAATGAGATGCATGAATTGGAAGAAGCCATCATGAATCTGACTCATCTGGCGATATACATTCTGTTAACCTAGCAGATATAGCAAGCTCTGAGGCATAGTTAGAGAACTAAGAGTCATCAGTAAATTCCAAAGCCTGATCTGCAGTCTTCACACTGAGATAAATTGGTACACTCTGCAACCTACCTGGGCCTACTCTTCTACTTCATATATTTCCATAATTTTACCATATTTATTGATTACATGCCTAATTAGTATAAACTCCCCCAAAGACAGGTTCTATGTCTATTTCAAAACATGTATCCCAAGATCATATCCCCAATGCTCCAATTAGTTCATATCCTTGACTGAGCCCAATAAAAATAGGAAATATTTTTCAGCTACTCAGAAAATCTTGGTGGTAAAAAGGTCAAATTATCCAGGATGCAGAACTGATCAACAAAATTCAGCTTGGGAGAGAGGAAAAAAGAACCTTAATTTAATGCCTCAATCCAGTAGTATCTTATTTTATTTTATTTTTTTGAGAGGGCATCTCTCATATTTATTGATCAAATGGTTGTTAACAGTTAACAACAATAAAATTCTGTACAGGGGACTCAATGCACAATCATTAATCCACCCCAAGCCTAATTCTCATCAGTCTCCGATCTTCTGAAGCACAACAAACAAGTTCTTACACGGTGAACAAATTCTTACATAGTGAATAAGTTCTTACATGGTGAACAGTACAAGGGCAGTCATCACAGAAACTTTCGGTTTTGATCACGCATTATGAACTACAGTATCTTATTTTTTAAAAATTAACATATGCCTGTTTTCAGAATCAGTAACTGGAGGATGCAGCTTTGGCATTAACAGTGGGCTCTGGGAAACTCTGAGTGGCTCTTTCCCCTCTCTCTTATGTCCACAGAGCCAAGTAATTTCAGTCCTAACTCATTCTATCCTCTTCTGCTTCACAATGACATCATGAATTCATTTTCTAAACCAATATGGCTCTTAGCCCTTATAAATCAGTCACTATTAGGAATGAGAGGATATAAAAGAGGAAGATGAATATCAGTGTGATAGAATTTTGTCTTATGGTAGCTACTATATGAATCTGAGACAAGATTTCTTATTTAAATTTTGAATTGTGGAGCACTTTGTTTTTTGAGAAATTCTAAATTTATTAGATAAACAATAATAAATACCACTGTTCATAAAAACATGAACTTCAACAGTTAGGTGTAAAGATAAAAGTTCTCCATATCTTATATTTGAAAAAGAGTAAAATAAAGACACCTTTTTCTATCTCTTCTTGTTTGACTGAAAGGAATCCTAACCAAATAAATTCTTCTTAAAGGAAAACTCTAGGTTGACTTTTTTGGGTCACTAAATCTTATATGAGACACGTGAAAGTAACTCATGTTACTTCTAGTCAAATGAATAAATATGCAAGGGTGAGCTAAATCTGTTGTTGTGGCAGTAGCCTCTATTTTATACTAATACAATTTCTTGCTCTCCTCAAACTCCCTACCACGAGAGTTACTTCTGAACAGGGACTATATTTTATACTTCATATAGGTGCCCAGTAAATAACTGTTCATTTAATGAATGAATAAACAAATTCATTAGTAGTATGCCATCTTAGTACAATGAATTCAAATGTCAAAAACTTAGAGCATGTTACAAAATAATCATTACATTATTACAGCATGTTGTAGAACAATAGTTTGCATATTTTTAAACACTGAGGCTCTCTGAAAACCAAACTTTAAAAATAAATTAAGATAAGCCCTATTGGAGTCCTTCCATTCAACAAGCCAGCACTAAAAGAAGAATCTTTTCAGGGAATCCAGGACTGCATGTTCTAGTACAATTGTTGTTCTTGTTTTAAGGTGGTATTCAAATAACTACAACACAGTGAGTGCAAATTAATAAGAAAAACCTACACAGCTAGGGCTTAGTTGAATTAGAATCCCTGGGCTCCCAATAAGGGCTAAATCCCAAAGGGATCACAGTCAAGTAAATAAAAAAATCCAGCTGAAATTTATCAGAGGGCAAAGTTTAACTTCAAGTACCCCAGCAACCAAGGATGAATTATGTGTAAGATTAGTAAAGTGCCTTCATCCACACCCCAGCCAAAGAACATTCTTCTATCTCACCGTGACTAAAGGAAAAACAGCAATGTATCTGCCTGCCAAGAATAGCTGTGGCTATACTCTAGATAGAAGTCTAACAACACTGAGGGATTAAAATTTAATTGTAAAGCTGCTGCTACCTGGGAGTAAAAGCTTGAACTCTGGCTTCAGAAAGAAACTGGGACTCCAGCATACTGAATAGATGAAAACAAGAGCTGGCATGTTCCTAACAAAGAGTGTGAGAATATGTTCCCTTCTTAAATTCTTCCCCAAACTGCTTCTTTCTCCAGATATCCTATTGGTAATATGCAAGAGTGCTCAATAGGAATATAGCCCTTTATTATACTTTGAATATATAAATATATGTATGTACATTTCATTTTCAGAATGCTTCAAATTACAGGATGAAGTCAGAGAGTGATTATGTGGTCTGAATTCTCTGAATGTCAGTTCATTTAATTTTACTGAGCATCATCAGAAGCTCTAATAATTTCTTTTCTTGAAGCTGGCTGTTGAGATGAACCAAAGGCAATCTTAATGTTATTACAGAACCCAGAGAGATAATTTTATTTATCCTTCAAATTCAGACAGAATGCCATTAACACTCAATCCTTACTGGGGCCTCATCAGCATAAAGGAGCACACCAGGTTTCCTACCTATTGGTTCAACTATTAGAAGTACATCTGCTATTCAAAATTCCCACTTCAAAAATTCCCACTCCCATTTCAAAAGAAATACCCACAAGTTATGATATTTTATACCAAAAGTTTATTCTGTTCAGTTAAACATACCCCCTTAGCAGAGGACCTGAAGAGACACTTCTCCAAAGAAATTCAGATGGCCAACAGGCACATGAAAAGATGCTCCACATAACCAATTATCAGGGAAATGCAGATTAAAACCACAATGAAATATCACCTTATACCAGGTAGGATGGCCAACATTCAACAGACAAGAAACAACAAATGCTGGTGAGGATGCAACGAAAGTGGAACCTTCCTACACTGTTGGTGGGAATGTAAATTAGTTCAACCATTGTGGAAAGCAGTATGGAGGTTCTCCAAAAAACTAAAAATAGAAATACTGTTTGACCCAGGAATTCCACTCTTGGGAATTTACTCAAAGAACAAGATCCCAGATTCAAAAACACATATGTACCCCTGTTTATTGCAGCACTATTTACAATAGACAAGATATGGAAGCAACCTGAGTGTCCATCAATACGGAATGGATAAAGAAGAGGTGGTACATATACACAATGGAATACTATTCAGCCATAAGAAAGAAACAAATCATACCATTTGCAACAACATGGATGGAGCCAGAGGGTATTTTGCTCAGTGAAATAAGTCAGGCAGAGAAAGACAAATACCAAATGATTTCCTTCATTGGTGGAGTGTAACAACAAAGCAAAACTGAAGGAACAAAACAGCATCAGACTCACAGACTCTAAGAAGGGACTAGCAGTTACCAAAGGGGAGGAGTGGGGAAGGGGATTGTGGGGTATCATGACTGGTGCACATGGTGTGTGGGGGGTCAGGGGGAAGACAGTGTAGCACAGAGAAGACAAGTAGGGACTCTGTGGCATCTTACTATGCTGATGGACAGTAACTATAATGGGGTATGGGGGGGACTTGATAATAAGGGTGAATGTAATAACCACATTGTTTTTCTTGTAAAACCTTCATAAGAGTGTATATCGAAGATACCTTAATAAAAAAAATAGCAAAACTGAAGGAACAAAGCAGCAGCAGATTTACAGACTCTCCAAGGGACTAGTGGTTACCAAAGGGAAGGGATTGGGGAGGGGAGGGGTGGTGGGAGGGAGAGGGGATTAAGGGGCACTATAATTAGCACAATATAGGTAGGTCACTGGGAAGGCAGTACAGCAGGGATAAGACAAGAAATGACTCTATAGCTTCTTATTATGCTGATAGACAGTGACTGCAGTGGAGGTGGTGAGGATTTGGTAATATGGGTGAATGCTGAAACTGCAATGTTGTTCATGTGAAACGTTCATAAGATTGTATATCAATGACACTTAAAAAAAAAAATCCCCCACAATCCTTCACAAACTTACCCTTTGATTTTGAAAAAAGGGTGATGTTGAAACAAGATATTTAAATTTATACTTTATATAAAAACTGTTTTTTCCATTTCAGAGAGTCATTCAAATTCCCTCTGAATCACTACAAACCAGTTCCTACTGTTTCTTTAGTATTTCTGTGTATTTTAAACAGTTAGAAAGGCTGAAGTTATTTCTACAGTTGTCTGAGTATGTGTTGTACACGACCAAATAGCATTCTTTCTTTAAGTGGCTTACTAGCCAGAATAGAAATAAAATTGAAGTGAATCAGTTTGAAAGGCAGAAAAGCAAATGTGTGTTCTTAATTTTAAAACATCAGAGTTCATCAAATAGATTTATATTGTGAAGAGTTCTCCAGGCAGCTTATTTGTCCACTTACATCTTAGCCTTTGCAGTAAGCATCTCTGCAACCTAAGTACCCTTTCTATTTCCTGACAATCCACACTGGCCTCTTCATTTAAAACTCTTCTCCAAAAAATTCATCACCTGTAGGAAAATATCTCAAGCAAAACAACTGTCACCACTACATCATTCTATTATCCCCTTAGTATTACCATAGTTGGCTTGAAATTTATTTTTTTGTACTTGTTTTGATGTAAGTTGTGAAGGGACATGTTATGTCACATGACTAAAGGGCTGTCTATTGTGTGATTTCCAGCAAATCACTTAACTTTAATAACTCAAACTTGCCATTTGTATTATTGGATGATCACAGTCTGTCCTCCAATGGCTCTGGCAAGGATAAATGAGAATGTAAGTATAAACTCATAAAGAAAAAAGATAATAACTAGCTGAAGTTCACATTACTCTTGGTTCAGAAATATAATATATTAATTAGTCACATTAATTTAGTTCTTTTGAGCATTTGAAGTGTGGTTGGCTGAGTAAGAAGCAAAATTCCACTAAAGAAAAAAGCTAAAAACTGTTCCTAAAGATTTTAATTTTCTTTTGTATTCCATTATCCTCTCCATTTAAGAGGACTATGCTGGGTCTGCAAAAAATAAATATATTTTCTAAAAAAAAAAAAAAATCAGGTTTCTTAATGTGAATTTAACTATCACTAGTGTAATGAGTTTGGAATGAGCAATTTACATCAATATGTAAGCACAGTTTTTCTAAAAATTGCTATGCAGTCCACCTGCCCCAAGTGCTGCTAATGATTAAGCAAAACATATATGAGCAGCAGTGAATGGCAGGATGTCCTAACTTTGGCACTGATGCTTTCACTTTGAGGGGGAATAGGTGCTTAAATATACCGCCAAATAAATCCAGGCAGAGTGCTTGTGAACTTCATACTTGACAGGCACATGTTAATAGGAAAAGAGGGTGATTTCCATAAACCCTAAAACTGAATTAAACCTGGGGAAGGGATATAAACATGCATTAAAAAGTACATTGTCCTAACTCTTATTCTTTGTTTTCCTTTGACCAGAAGAGTTCAGTACTCAGAAAATTTGGATAAAGAACATTAGCAATTTCACAACTGTCTCTGTATGGTTTTTTTTGAAGGAGAACAATAAGGATGAAACATGATATATTGTTATACGAAGAAAAGAACATCTTTTCTAATGGATAAATATCCCAGTTCATTAAGAAAATAAAAATTAGAATATGCCAGACTTCCTAAATAAAACATTCAGCAGAACTAACAGCATTTAAAAATTTTGACCTGTCATACAACCAACTCCTTTTATCAGCAAGAAAGTTTCTGGGAAATACCTCAGAAACTTTTCTATGGGAATAGCACGGTTACAGAACCATGTTTTACAAGGATATAGGTATAATTCAAAATGTTTCAAAGATTATATCAATTCTTAGGAACTAAAGACATCTCACAGCTTTGAAAAATACCCATTTACAAAGTAAAGAAACATTTTACTTGTCAGTTTAGTTTCTGAATGTGGTCATTCAGAAATCCTGTGTATTTAATAAACTATCATGTTTTTAGTATTAACTAAATCAGATGGAGAATATTAAAAAAACCTTTCAGATTTCATGTTACTGGTTATGAAATGGAAAATTAGGAACCTTTAAAAAGAATTTTTTTCCACTGATAACAATACATAGTTATAACTGTCTATCAACTCCCCTAGTTATGAAAACAATCTTTGCCCTGGAAAAAATGATGAGAATAGTAGACAAATCAAATCATCTCAAGAGTTTTTATCACTATTCAGAAAAAGACATTTGGCACTTTATCTGCTTATTATTTTTAAAAATGTAACTTGGGGAGAAAAATATTAACTATTTTTAGGAAGGGGCTGAAGAAATCCCAGTGAGACAGTTTGTAGAGAGGTCTCTTATTAGTGTAACATCTAACCTTCTATATCTTTGGAAATCATGCAACTTGGCTAATGTAGTCCTTAAAGAATTAAGTAGATTGTTAGGCCCTAGTTACACTGGAGCCAGCCAATTATGAGTTGCTCAGAAATACATCACTGGCACGTCCAACCATTTTCCCACATAAAGATTAGTAGAAATATGTGGAAACAGGGCCCATTCCCACCTCAGCACAGCTACAATATGTGTGTTCAGTGAAACAAATTTCAACAAAGTTTTGCCTCAGTGAAACAAACATTTTATTTGGGAGTCTTTGTGTTTCCTGTCTTTACCAGTAACGTATTTTTTTGGCCAGCTTTGCCAAGGCTACCCTACTTAGTTAAAACTCAACTAGGGATTTTATATTCAAACACACTGCTGAATTCAAAGCACTGAAATCACATGCCACAAACCTGAATTCATCAGTAAGTTAGTGAAATCCCATAGACCATCTTTAGTCTTTTCACTGTTGTGATAACGCCCTCCCAAGGCTTACTAAGAAGAAAGCTTTTCTTACAAGAGAGAAATAAAAGGGGCCAGAGTAGATGAAGATTGGTTCTCGAAGGAGAGGGCAGTACTGCTCTTAAATAAAGAAGCTCCTTTCAGATAAGCAGAATCAGATTCCAGTTCATTTCACTTGCTGGCTACCCTTACTTTGAACTCTCATATTTAACCCAGCAGGCTTCAAAGCAGGTGAGAAAGTGGCCTACAACTTAAAAAGAAATTTTTCCTTTTTCAGGAATTCTGGCCTTGGAGAATACCAACTCTGATATCAGCACATTCCACATCTCCAGGGATTTATGCCTTTTTTTTCTTCATTGCTCTATGTCTAATGTCAGGTTTGGTTTTCATCTCAGCCAGGAGAAAAATCAGGAAAAAAAAGAGCCCTAACTTTTTAAAATGAAGTCTTCATTCCATATAGTTTTATACCGTGCAAAAGAAGGGGCACTAAAACCACCACCCATTCTAGTTCATTCCCTTCCATTTATCTAAATTTGATGTACAGTCAGGATTATTAAAGATATCAATTCCTAGTGCCTTGCTTCACAAAAAATCAATTTTTGTAACAAATGTACTTCAACAAATTCAAATTGAGTATCTATAGCATGTGAGCTAATATAAAAAGATAGTAGATGAGGAAGAGATATGGTAACAATGGAAGAAATTTAGGAAATTTTCTTAAATTGCTTTGCCTTACTAAATAAAGGAATAAGTATGTTTCTAAAGTCCTTATTTGATTACTACTATATTTGGCTAACAAATATCTTACTTAAAAATCCTAACATAGGCAGTTTGCAACTTACCAATCAATAGGTGCTGTTCTACAAGGTTTGCCAGTGCCTAGATTTGAAAAATTTCTCCACTTTCTGTGGTTTGCATAATATACCAGAAGTATAATAATAAATAAATTTAAATTTAAATTAAATTAAATGACACCTAACCACCATTTTTACTACACTTTCTATGGGAAAATGCATTTGAGTTTACAATTAGAACACAGCTCTTCCAAACACAATGAGGGTAGGGCTTCCCACCACGGCTGTACTTGCGGGGTGATGATGACGGTGATGGTGGCAACAACTACCGCTCAGCTAGGTTTTACTGTGGGCAGACATGCTTCTAAACACGTGACATATTTTAAACTCATTTAACCCTCACAAAAGCTTATGGGGTAGTATGATTCTCATTTTACAGTGAGTAGGAGAAAAGGTTAACGCACCTGAGGATGAACAGCCAGTAAGTGTCAGGGGTGGGATTCAAAGCAAAGCAGCCTGGCCCTTCACCATTCTGCAGCGCTGTTCTCTCTACCTTAATAAAGTGGTGCTCCCCAGGCGCTCCAAATTCCTCTGTTGGGGTGGACTAGAGCAGGGCTTCTCAGGTGTTAAACGTGACTATAAGATCACTTGGCAATCTTGTTAAGATGCAGATGCAGGCAGTCTGGAGTGGTGCCTGTAGTTCTGCGTGTGTAACAAGCTCCTGGGTGATGATGATGCTCTTAGAGCACAGACCACATGTTATTAAGTGGTGGGGAAGTCGAATTTGAACTTCCAGTTCCCTCGCAGGCTGGCTGTTGACTGCTGAGGCTATCATATGTTGTGTTTATAAGCTGGAGACTGCCCATACTGTGATCATTTCCCATGAATTCTTAAATGGATCCTGCCCTTGGAACTGCATTCCAAATATTGGTAGGTACTTTCAGTAAATACTTCAGCTTTTAGGAAGTTAAAATGTACATGTAAAGGCCACAGGGATTAAACATGGCTATAAAAGTTTACTGTCAGGAATACTTTTAACACTATATACCACCAACTAAACAAATACCAAAATATAGTTCAATAAATGCCTGTCCATTGTTCATCAACTAGAATCACAGTAAATTAGTAAATTTTCACCCAAAAAAGAAGCTTTCACTTTAAAATCTGTAATTATTCATTCTTAGACTGTGCTGGAGGTGTACTGGGGAGCTTGTGCTTCCTCCTCTTAAAGACTCTTCTGGTGCGTCTGTGATCTCGTCAGTAAGGCAGACACTATATACTGACACAGGGCTGGAGCAGACAGGGAGTACAATCCTCATTAATGTCAGCCAGAACCTCATGAAAGTATACCACTAACAATTACTACACATCTATTCCAGATTCTAGATCTCCCTCCTTGCTGTTTCATCTCCTTCCCACCGTGCTGAGAGAAACCCAAAGAACATCTCTCCCGTTTTCTTTCCTGTGACTTCAAATGCACAGCTGAATATTTTTCCCAGTTGTTAAATGGATGGGATTCCATCTCTTGTCAACTTTTCCCATGCCAGATTACACAGCAAGGTCATGTCCATTTGAGATGCACTCACTCCCTAGTCAGCACCACTGCAAATAACAGAGTTACAGCATGATCACTAAGCTTCCTTTTTACACTAAAAGGAAATAGAATAGTCAGTTTCCAACCCAAATATCTATTCTCCCTGAACAACAGTGGAATGTCATTCTTCCTGAAGCCTGACCGAGAGTCAACTGCAGTCTCAGACTTCTAGGCCTACAGCCAGTGGCAACTTCACACATCATATAGTTGACTTTCAGGGAAAAGGGAAACTCATGCTCTTAACTACTGGTGCCAGAAGAAAACCAACTAATCTTAAGGCACAAAATGAACTAATCTTAAGGCAGGAAAAGAAATTCTGAAGGGAAATGGAGTCCGAAGGGAGGCATATTAAAAAAAAATAGAAATTACATTACCCAGTAAGGGCTAGTGTCTCTATGGTTCTCAGTGCTTTTCTATTTAGGATATAATGAATCAGCATTTTCTTTGAATTCACTACCTGGTAAAAATGCAAAGATGTACAAGAAAGACATTTTTTTTTAAAGGCTTGGAGACTTAAAGGGACTTATCTTTGGCAACTTTGAGCCGGTGACATTAACAAATTTACATAGAAAGAGTACATAATAATGGGATACTCTAATATCAGTTCTCCAGTACTTACTAGACCTGAGTCAGGAAATGGAGAAACAGCTTAAAACTAAAGGTTAAAAAATGAAAATATAAAGGTCTACACATGGATCTATACCCACAGTTAAAGAAGGTCAACAAGAACATACAGATACAAGAACAGGCAGAACCTCTGAGGCACACTGTACCCAAGGCAAATGTCTCATCTGACTTGCTTATTCTCCATCTTAATGCACTCCTGAATTTTTAAAGTTCAGTAAATCCTCAGAACTAATTATTTCATTTAAACGGAAAAATCAAAAGGCTTGTTTACAAATATCAAAGAAAATGCATTTAAAAGAGTTGAATTATTCTTTAGCTAGTACCAAGTGCCTCGTTTACCACCAAAAATTATTTACAAAGACCAGCTTTATAATGTTATGCCATTGTATTCTTTAAACTTTTAAGCTACAAAAACACAGCTCAAATCACTGAAACTTATGTTTGACATATTTATGGCAGCAACTTTACAAATCAATTCCTGTAATTTACTATAACAAATATCTTCCACTGATCAACTGGTTTAGGACAAATAGATCAGAGATGTTTTGTGTGTTTTACAAATACTCTACACAAGTCCTTGAGATCATACTTACAGCTTTAGCAAAAACACCCATTATTTCAGGAAACTGGTGTGTGAGAAGAGCTATCATTGCTGTAGAAGAACACAGTCCTGCTGTGAAGTGGATGAAAAAAGGAATCTCCTTCTTTGGGTAAACAGAAACATGATGAAAGGCTGCAAGGATGAAAAGGTAGAAATAGATTTTATTTCAGAATACAGTGTAAGCCAGTTTTAATATTTTTCAAATGAAATCTATTTTTAAAAACTATACAGGAAAAAAAAACAAAACAAAAAAACAAAGAATAAGAAGTCTCTGGCCAAGCAAGGTAGAAGAGAACCATCCATTATTTACTACAACATCGACAGCACATTTATATAGCCAGAGGATTGTGCTGGGGACTGGAGATACAATGGCATTGTGAAAAATAACATTGATTGTAAAGTCATGCTGAGGTGGTTTTGAAAAAGAGCTCTATCAACTTATTAGCTGTGCAATCTTGAACAAGTTGCTAAACCCTCTAGTAGTTGCTATGGATGAACATTATAAGCTCTTAATAAATGTGTTATAATTCTTGCTCTTTGGGAGCTCTGAGACAAGTATAAAAACCAAGACAGACATGTGGTTGGAGACTTTCCCGAACCATCAGTTAATAATTTCAGCCAGTTATTAATAAGTGTTCTATGTGCAACATTTCATAAAGCAGGGTAAAAAATCAAACTAGAACACCAAACCCTGAACATAAATGAAGTCCTTCCTCTTATTTTACCATACATTTACTCAGATATAATTTTTCTAATGATTGGATATTTCATTACTAATAGTACTCAAGTATTTACATCTTATTTGAAGTTTGAAAAAACTTGAATAACAATGCTAAATGAGCCTATTACAATGTGTGGCACATAGTAGGTGCTCAATAAATGTCTATTAAATTGAGAGCTATTCTGGGACTCCATTAGTCAAGGAAGTTGACCGTTCAGGGCTGGATACAAATCCAGGAATTCCTGATGTAATATCCTGCATAAGTAAAGGATGACTAATTCAGTATGGAATCAAAGTCAGCTATAAATTTCACTTTTTTAAACATAATGATTCACAGAGAAGATTACACCTAATTTTCTTTCAGTAGTCATGGTATTTTTCTGTCTTATACTATATTCAGAAACTACATACCAAAACCAAACTCATTAAAAATCCAGAAATTTTCCAGAGCCTTCAGTCATGTTGAAAGTAAAAGCGCACCAAATCTCAATCTTTTTAAAAGTTAGAAACATTAGAAGCTGTGGACAACACTGTGTTTTCAGCACCCAAAAACCCAGCAGTCCCTTTCATTCCTGTCCCTCAGCCATGAGAAGCCAACTTCTGCCAGGAAACCAAGAGAAACAAACCATGGACTTGGGAAGACAGAGAATAAATACTTAATGCATACCAATGGTTACTATAATTGCTATTATGGAAGAGACAGCAAAATTAATATTAATTAAACTGTATAGCATTTTATGGTTTATAAAGTAATTTATACTAGCTTGTTTGATTTTTTCCCCCAATAACCCTAAGAGATAGACAGTATTAGTTCCATTTTATAAGGTAAAAAACTGTATAGCTTTAGTAAGATAATTTCCTAGAATATCAGATTTTTATACTGTAGGAGAAACCTAATTATTTCTTTTTGGATTGCTTTTTGTAGACTTGTTTTGTCAGTCAGTAATTGGCTAAACATCAGTATAATGGATAACTAGTAGAGAAAAACTCCCCTGGAAGAAAGTTCAAATTTCATCACTGGCTCATAGAGAAAAATTTATCAGGAGGCATAAAAGACAACTAAATACCTATGTGAACTAAGGGAATAGTTCAAGTCTGAACTTACAAGGCTCATAAGCAAATCCCAGAATGCTGTAAGTCAAAGTTGAAGGAGAATTGAAAACAAAAAAACATTAAGTACTCCTGGGTATTATAACTCCACATTATTAAAAATGTGTTCATTCTATCACAGTCAAAGACAGAAAAAAATACTCTAAGATCATACAATATAATCAAACAAAGTTGCCCTACATATCTCTCCTTTCCTACCTGCTGGAATTTGCAAATTAGCAGCATCCTAGAAATAATGAAGGCCCGCCAAATAGAAAACTGTTTTTATAGCCCATGGTTCTGACAGTACATGACAGTAATTTTATTCATATCACTATATAAAGTTGGTCTTATATCAGGCAACAGTTGTAATGATTTGAGGGGCATTATTTTAGGCTAAACGTTTCAGCCTAGTGTAAAACACTCGTGCATATTGATGCTCCATAATAAGATTCATTCCTTTGCTTTAAACAAGAAATCCTTTTCCTGTTAAATGGAAAAACAAGAACAACTACGATCATCACCATTCTAGGAAAGAAAATAAATTTCTCTTACTAATGACTTTCTAGTTGCCAAAGTCAATGAATTCTTCTCAGTAATTATCTTACTGAGTATCTCAGATACTCCTCCTCACTTGGAAATTTTTTCCTCCTCTTAGTTTCCAGGATATCTAGTTCTGGTTCTTGTCCTGTCTCCTTGACCACTCCTTCACTGAGTCTTTAAGACTCCTTATCAGCCCCCCATTCCTTAGACATTTTTGTGCCCCATGGTTCCACCCTGAGCTTACTTCTCACTCTGTACAGTTTCCCTTAGTGAACTCATTTATACCCAGAAAATGATGACTCCCAAGTGGGTTTTGTGACATAAGAGATGTAGAGAAAAAAGGAATAAGGACCCCTGGCAATTTTGTTTTATACAACCTCATTTTTTCCTCCAGCTGACTGAACCAGGAATGAACACCTGGATAAATATGATTCTCTCATTCTGTATTGTTTGTCTGAACTGATGACATACAAACTCAGAGCCATATAGGGGCATCAAATTTGGCTACATGAGGGTCTAAGAAGGGAAAGCCAAACTGCAAAGAGAAAGATATAAAAATGAAGCAGATACATTGAGAGAAACAGAAATGAGACCTCCTACAGAGAGAAGATGGAGTTGGAGAAGGAGAAAAACAAAGTGAGAACAGGAGAGACTGAAAAAGGCAGCCAGAGATGAATATATACAAATAACAAACTCTTGCAAATCCTGACAGTCTTCTAGTTCCTGGTTCTAGTCTCCTCTGAGGTCCAACTTTAATTACTGCTGTTGGATTCTTTGAGATAATCCAGACTTCTTCTGACAAATTCCTTTTATGAGTAAGCTAGTTTGAAATGGCTCTTTATTACTTATACCCAAGGAATACAACCTACATTTATTATTTGGTATATATTTTAATAATATATGTATTATATACAAATTAGTTATAAATACATCTTACACCTATATATAGAGATATAACATATAACAAATACATACCTGTATGTGTTCAACAGATTATGTAATAAAATATTTAAGCATACATACACAACACATATATGTGTGTATATGGGTGAGATGTTGCACATGCAACATACTGAAAGCCTTAACTTGTCTTCTTCCCCCACTCCTAACCTGCTAGCAGTCCTAAACCTGCTCCTACTGCTGTATGATGGATTTACCATTTTTCAAGTCAGATTTAGGAATTATCCTTGACCTTAGAGAGACAGCACTCCCTATTCCAGCTTCCTTATAATTTATTCCATACATACAGCACATAACACATGGCTCATCATTTTTACTAAGCTGTGAGTAGTTTAGGAGTTTGGAGTAGAATAAGGGAGAAAAAGTATTAACATTTATGTTGGGTATTTATAATGTACATGGCATGTTTATAAGAATTAATACATTTGACTAATTAAAATATTTATTGAATATCAATTTTTATGATGAACATTATACAGATACATGGAGGGGAAATAAAGAGAATTCTGGCCTTCAAGTTTATAATCTAGAAGGAGAGATTAAGAAGTAAACAAAGCACTTTAAGAATTTAAAGAAAGAAGAGATAACTCATCTTTGAGGACAGAGGATAAAAGATCCTGGGAGAAAAATGTAAGCTTGCTCAACTTCCATAGTCTCTCCTAAATTTTCATCTATCTGGACTTTTCAGCTCATAAAGTGTGATGGTTGCATAACTGCAACTTCCCTTCCTAGACTTCAGTTCTAATGGCTCCAGAATTTAAAAACTGTGCACAGGTTTTTATCACATAAGGAAACATGATGCTAGTGTTTATTTATAACCTTCCGCATGCTCACTCACTGGTTAAATCATAAAAGCAAAAGTTAAATAGAAATTTACCAGTTCCCAGAAAGAAAGAGTGAGTGGGTGATCAGGCAGCTAAGACTAAAAGTATAGACTACTCTTTTGAGAGGTGTGGCTTCCTGAAAGCAGGGACTAAATGGAAACAGTCTCAGCAATCATAATCGCACATATTTCTGGTTCTCCTCCTAACTCTTTGTTCTTTTTAAAATTTGGAAGTATAGTGTCTCCAATTTCGTTCTTTGTAAAGACTGCTTTGGCTATTCTGGGTTCTTTCCCTTTCCATATAAATTTTGGGATCAGCTTGTCAATTTTTGCAAAATCCCTGCAGGAATTTTGATAGGGATTATACTGAATCTACAGATCAATGTTGAGAGAGTTGCCATATAAGTAATATTGGGTCTTTCAATTCATAAACATGGAATGTCTCTCCATTTCTTTAAGGTTTTTCTTTCATTCCTGTCAGCAATATTTTGTAGTTTTTAGTGTACAAGTCCTGCACTTCTTTTGTTAAATTTATTCTTAAATTGTTTGTTCTTTTTGACATTACTGTCCTTAGTATTGTTTTCTAAACTTGATTTTTGGACTGTCTGTTGCTAGCATATAAATATACAATTGTATTTTTATATCCTGCAACCTTAACGGACTTGTTTATTAGTTCTGGTAATATATTTACGTATTTATTAGAATTTCCTACAGAGAAGATCATGTCATCTGTGAAAGACAGTTTTACTTCTTCCTTTCCAATGTGGATGTCTTCCTGTGTCTTTTTTTTGCTTGACTGCACTGACTAGAACCTCCAATACAAGGCTGAACAGAAGTGGTGAGTGCAGACATTCTTGCCTTATTCCTGATCATAGAGAGAAAGCACTCAGTCTTTCACCATTAAGGATACTATCTGTGGCTTTTCACAGATGCTCTTTATCAGAATTTTTATCATTAATGGGTACTGGATTTTTGTCAAATGCTTTCTCTGCACTGATTTTCCTTACCATGGCACATTATGTTTTCATATTTTTAAACTAACCTTGAGTTTGTGAGGAAATCCTACTTGGTCATGGAATGTAATCTTTTTTATATATTGCTGGATTCAGTCTTCAAATATTTTATTGAAGATGTTTATGTTTATATTCATGGGCATATTGTTTTCTTGTAATGCCTTGTCTGGTTTTGTTATCAGGGTAATACTAGTCTCACAGAATAAGCTGGAGAATGTTTTCCTCCTTTATTTTCTGAAGAGTTTGTAAATTCGTATTATTTCTTATTTAAAGGTTAGATGATTGCTCTTTTAATATCTCTAATCTTTGTGTCCTTCATTGCATCTAGCACAGGGATTTACCCAATAAATATTTGGAAATGAACTGAATTGTGCAACTACATCCAAAATATGGCTAAAATAGTATTTAAACAGTATCCTAAATTTCAACCAAAGGCATTTTTAAAATAGGAGAATACTATGAAAAACAATCTCACAACTACTTTTAAGTTTAGGAAAACTAGAATATTTACTTACTAGGTAATAGTTCTCTATCAGCAGTCTCTGTGCAGCTGGGATAAGGGTAAAACAGATGGCCTTTCTCTAATGGGTATGGAATCATTCTAAAAGCTGAGAAAAAAAATACATATGTTGACATTCAACTCAGACTCATTTTCATCCTATACTACAGATAAAAGCTATTTTGGAGACAATTTTTATAAAATTTTCACATAGCATTTTATTTTCTTTTAGAAACATATCTTAGATAAAAGAAACAAAGTAAGCAAAAGAGGAATAAGGGAAATAAGATTTATTTAGAGAATAGTGAATGGTCTGGTTGAAATAAAACTAAAGGGAGTCATGTCTGGGTTCTCCTTTCCTCAGTCTCCTCATTACAAATACAACACTCTCATTACAAATACAATTCAGACTCTCTGGGTACGAATTCCGCTTTCTACAGGAATCTTCCTAAAATTGCAACATGTATAACTATTGTGGCCATAACTGTTATTAGCAAGTTAAAAGAGTGTTCTATGGTTCCTAATTTCACAGGTTAGATGTCACCAAAGATTTCTATGAGCAGGGCTTAATTTAGATTTGGAGTCACCAAAGTATAGTCCTTTGGCAAGACCTGGACCACTACCTGTTTTCGTAAATAAAATGCTATTAGAATACAGCCATGCTTATTCATTACATATTATATGAGGCTGCTTTCAAGCTACAAGAGTTGGGTGATTGTGACAGAGAGGCCATAAAAACCAAATATTTACTGTCTTTTGATTTGGCCCTTTACAGAAAAAGTTTACTTAACCCTGATCTAGATGATCACCAACTCGTGCAGACTTTTTAAAGGAGTCCTTATTGATCTTCTCAACTAACTAAGTACTCATCAAAATTGTGATAAGGATTTTGTTTTTCCTTTAGTGCTTGGCTCTATAAACTTTTGTCAAAATATAACAAAAATTGCTTTGCCGCAATAAAAAGAAGGGATTTTCCCAAAATCATAGAGCAAGTCAGTGATAACACTCGGAAATCAGTCATCAAGATGCTTATTCATGAAACATAGTATAAGTCATATACTTACTGAAAATCTCCTATGTGCCAAGCAGAATGCTAGGCATTAAAGACACATACAAGATGAATGAGAACTCAGTTTTGAGGAACCCAGGAAAAAAAGCAAAAGAAAGTCTAATTACCCCAAGACATTCCACCCCTCAGTTTTAGTAGTTCCAGTTTTATTAACCTGTATATTCGGTGTCAAGCACAGTGACTGACCATCAGCTAACGCTTAATGCAGCGATTCCCAAATATTCTTGTTTCAAGGACACATGGTACCCTTTATGTCTCAGTAATTTTTTATCATGCCCCTAGGCTGAAAGAAATATCTTAACAATTCCACTTATTAAGTAGTGGGTCCAAATAACTTTGAAAGTTTATGTTCTACAGTGTATCACAGAGAAGGGACACAGTAGATCTCTGGCAACTTGCTGCACTGATGGACAGTGACTGCACTGGGGTATGGGTGGGGACTTGATAATATGGGTAAATGTAGTAACCACATTGTTTTTTCATGTGAAATCTTCATAAGAGTGTATATCAATCATACCTTAATAAAAAAATTTCACTGAAAAAAAAAGTTTATGTTCTAACAACTTAGCAGTAATTTAGAAAAAAAATACACGTGAATTAAAGGAAAAAAATAATCACTTCATTTTTAAATAACCATCATTTCTTACTAATGGGATATATGAGCTTGTTGGGCACTGCACAACTTCTCAAACCTTGGAGTCAGATTGAACACCACCATCTTCATTTCCTGCTCCTCACTAGCTTTTGTGTAGTACTTTTAATCACAGCAACTAGCATAACCCCAGCTTTGCAAAGCTGTGACATCTAAAGAAACAGAGAATGAAGAGCCACCTAATGGTGCAACCATAAACTTTGCTAACAGTTTGAATGGTATCTGACAGATGTTGCATATTGGTGTACTTCCAATGAAAATTTAAAATATCCCTTGGCACTCTAGTGAATTTGCTGTAATGCCTCAAGGGGCCTCAGGGCAAAGTTTGGGAACTGAGGGAGTTAACCTATTTTAGTTAATGAGCATTAAATTTATTTTTGAATTTTTATTGATAACAGAAGTATAGATTCCAAGGGAATTATTACTGAATTCAATGATAAAATATTTTAAGTTTTTCCATTTTCCTAGTGATTGTAAGGAGTTATAAATAAGAAACAGACCAGTTCTCCAAAGAAGCTCTACAAATGGACAACTAGTATGTAAAAAGATGTTCAACATCCCTCATTATTGAGGAAATACAAATCAAAGCCATAATGAGAGACTACTTCATGCCCATTAGTATGTTCTTTTCAAACAAACAGAAAGTGTTGGTGAGGACAGAGGAAGTGAAGCCCTTGTGAATTGTTGGTGGAATTTAAAGTGGTGCAGTGGCTACAGAAAATGGTATGGCAGGCCCTCAAAAAGTTAAATATAGAATTATGTTATCTAGCAATCCCAATTCTGGGTATATACACAAAAGAACTGAAAGCAGGAACTTGAGCAATTATACATTTGTGCTCATAGCAGCATCAGTCACAATAGTCAAAAGGGGAAAACAACCCAAACGTCTATTGACAGATGAGTGAATAAACAAAATGTGTATGTATACAATGGATATTATTCAACCTTAAAAAGGAATGAAATTTTGACACATGCTACATTATGCTAACTGAAATAAGCCAGTTTAAAAGGAAAAATACTGTATAACTCCATTATCTGAGATACCTAGACTAGTCAAACTCAGACAGAACACAGAATGGTTACCAGGGGATGGGGAGAAGGGAAGAATGGGTCTTATTGTGTAGTGGGTATAGAATTTCAGTTTGGGATGATGAAAAAGTTTTGGGGAGGGAGGATGGTAATAGTCGCCCAACAATGTGAATGCACACAATGCTACTGAACTGTACATTTTTAAATGGTTAAAATGGTAATTTTTGTATTATGTATATTTATCACCATAAAATTTGTTAAAGGATAGAGTTGATATTAGTTGTGAGGAAAATAACATTGTGCACAACTGAAGATAATACAAAAAAAACAGTCTAATTAAAAAAAATATTAGGAATATTCATTTTCTTTCCTTACAAATATATAATTTAAATGAATAAATGGTGGAATACCATAACAGTATCTCATTCTGCTTTTCCTAAATGTAGCATTGCTGTTAAGTACATAAAGCATTTCTTCTACCAATAAACCAAGTATAACACCACCGAGCTCACTTTGAAACCAATCTGAACAACAAATCCTTATGGAAATTTCATTTCATTTAAAAAGACTGCCTGTGAATGCAGTGAATACTTTAATGTTGAGTTACATTTGAAAAATAAAGTGTCCCATTTGGAAAAGATACTTACTGCCTTCCCACGTACACTGTAACAGACTGAGAGCACCTTCTATTCGTTTCCAGTGCTGAAGATGAAAGAAAGCATAGGCAACTGCTTCACTATCGCCCCGTTTCAGAATATGTTCTGGAGGTAAAATTAGACTTTTCATCTCTAGTAAATACTAGAAAAATAACACACATGCATAGACACACCACAGGAAAAAGAAAAAGTTTATTAGGTTAAATTCAAACATTCACAAAAATGTAGATTCAAATTTTATAAAGTCAATTTGATTTTAAAAAAAGACATTAACCTTGTTGAAATGATGTAAGGGTCCTACTGATAGCATGTATAGAAAATGCTTATATTTGCAAATTCCAAAGATCAGAATATTCCTATATGTAAAAATAAGGTGAAAAATGTCTTAGGTATGACCTTGCTAAATAAAAAAGGGAAATGCAAGCTGAGGAAATAATGTGAGAGCAAATATTTATTTTTCAAAAAATGAATTAAGTGTAAAAATTATAAAATACAATTTTGGAACAACTCTTCATAGCAACATACAATTCTTTTTTTCTCTTATTCCCATTTTACACTTTACTGTGAAGAGATTCAATTAAATTAATATTTACTGAATGCAAAGTACTATGCTTGTTACGGAATACCAAAACACACTCTATTCTCTGGAGCTTACTAATGTAACTAGAAAGATTTTTTAAGTTAATAATTATTACCAGACTGTGCTGAGTGCTTTAATAGAGGTATAAACAATGTGTATAGGAATATGGATAGGGTGGATTTTTTAAATTTAATTTTTGAATAACAGCTTTATTGAGATAATACTTGACATACTTTACCATTCAACCATTTAAAGTATATGATTTAGTGGTTTTTTAGTATATTCACAGATATGTGCAGCCTCATCACAATAAATTTTAGAACATTTAAAACACCTCAGAAGGAAACCCTGTACTCTTTAGTTATCACCCTTTATTCCCCGATCCCCGCTAAGGCCTAAGCAACCACTAATTTACTTTCTGTGTCTACAGATTTGCCTATTTTGTGTATTTCTCACAAACAGAATCACATAATATATGGTCCTTTGTAATTGTTTTTTTCCACTTAGCATGTTTTCAATGTACATCCATGTTGTAGCATATATTACTATCTTGTTTCTTCTTGTGGTTGAATAATATTTCATCGTATGGATTTATTTATCGATTTGTTTATTCATTCACCATTTGATGGACATTTGGTTTTCGCCTTTTGGCTACTATGAATAATACTGCAATAAACAGCAGTGTATGAGTTTTTATGTGAACATGTTTTCATCTCAATTGGGTATATACCCAGGAGTGGAATTGCTCTATCATATGGTAACTCCATGTTCACAAGGTTATTAATTATGATTTAGAGGCTGAAAATAAACACTTGATGGAATTTGGGATTTAAGCTGATATATTAAGATGGGTGGAATGTAGATGAGCAGATTGAAGGGTGAGGTGAGGAGAACAGGAAGAAGTATTCAAAGTGCAAGGCCAATTTGAACAAAGGCACTAAGCCAAGAAGCATGGTGAAAAATGCAGCTAAGCCTGTTAAAGAAGTGATAGCCTCTCAATTCTTATTCACATATGAAATTAAATTCTATCTTAACTCTGGAAGAAAATATTTGCCTTAATATCATAATCCATAACAAAAGCAGTATAATCAGCTATTACACTAATCAAATGTATTAATTTCATGAAGATGCAAAACTACTTGTACATCTTCTTTACTATTAAAGTGGTCAACTTAAAACAAATCTTTTAAAAAATATTTAGTTAACTAAATACTTCCTCCAAAGACTGAGACCAGAGAACACTTTCTCTATTAAAAAAGGTTTGAAAATACCTTTCATCCTAAATAATTCAATAATAAATTATGTGTCATAAGGTTCAAACTACATTAACTTCTGTTATAAAATATAAAAAATAAAACATTCCACAGATATTTCAAAAGATATATTCTTATTTTCACATTTCAAATTCAAAGTTCCTTAGGTTGTTACAGAAACTAGTAAGATAAAAAACATAAGTTAAAGAGTTGAATTTGTGAAATACTTTGTAAAATGGTTACAAGTAGGTAGAATCTTAAAAATAAAGTGTAGTGGTTTCAAAATTTAAGCCTTAGGTTATTAATAAATATATATGTACATATCGTATTAACATATCTAAAATAAGTTTTTAATAAAATGTGCCTTTGCAAACTTACTGAGCTTAATGCCCATCTTTAATTACTTTTATTCCTAATATCTCATTAAAGCTGAAATAAAAACAAAAGAATAAAGAATAGTTACTCTTGGTCTTGATGTCTTCTGCTTCTCTCAAAGTGTAAGAATGCAGTCTGTTTATCAACTCATTTTAGCAGATGTCACAAACTATGAGATTATTTACTAATCCAGTTTGGGGATTTAACATTTCCCATTCAGTTTCTTAAAGGAATGCAGCCGAGGTTGTGTCCTGGTCAAGCAAAGCCCATTTGCTGCCTGGTTGGGTTCTCTCCCCTTAGTGCCTTGGGCCTATATTCAGCAGGGTAATATTCTTTCTAATCCTCTCTAATCCTTGCCCGTTTTTTTAAAACACAGTGAAAGATCACTCACACCAGGCGGTTGTGGGAAAATGGACTCAAATAGCTGACCTCTGACATGACTCCTTATGTTCTTTACAAGTGCTGGAAGAACTTCTTCAGTAGGAAGTAAAGAAAACGCACTCATTACAGTGGAATCGCCAACTAAACAGACTATCTCATTTTCAGAAGAAAACTGATACTTAAACCAATTCTTTTCTATTAAAATTCTCCTTCATTTTACACATATAGGAGACAAAATACCCCACTTTATTTTCAATGAGTTATAGAATCCTAAAGCTTTAAACTAAACTTGGTAGCCACTGAGCAAATGGTAAGGAAAGACATTCAGTTAACAATCATTTAGTAAAACTTATCATTATAGAAAATATTGACTTAGTAGTCAAAAAATACTTTTTTGAATAGCAACTATATATTTTCACTGTTTAATAATCTAAGTGACAATTCAGATAGTAATCAACACATATTGAATGCTTACTAGGAAATGACACATTGAGAGTTTAAAGATAAAAAAAATCTTTGCTATTTAATCATCTAAAAAAATCTTCCTTGTGTTACCTTATTTTTTATTATCATGTCTTACCTACCAGCAAATGTCCTTTCCAACCTGACTTTAAAGCAAAGCAATTCTTTTTTTTTTTAGTTCCTAATAAGACAATGAAGTAAAATTTCACCTTCAAATTTTAAGGGAAATTTTTAAGGTTAAGGAAATGTATTTAAAATAGGTAATTATAGGATCACTACTTATTTTGTCTCTTGCACAAACTGCTATTTGAGAATTTCTGCTACCTGGCATAAGCTGTAAGGTACTGCACAACAGAAACCATTATCATCCTTCATATTCTACTACAGGACCTAGCACATTACACTACCCAAAGTAGGCACTGAAACACTTATTAACTGACTTGACCTGATATACATAGCTAAAACGTCTTCAAACTCACACTTATCTTTCAGTTTTGACTTATTTTCTAACTCTCTAGGCTACTAAAAACACAAGAAAATCCATTACCCAGAATTTACTTTTCTATGAAGAAGAATATGAAAGATTAGAAACTGAGAGGTGACTCTGATTTTATTTTGTTTGGTTTTTTTTTTCCTGTTTATGAAAGCACATGCTCTTTCATACAGTATATTTAAACACTGCAGAGTATACAGTAATTTAAACACTGCAGAGTTACACGGTATAAAATAAAATATTATAAGATTGGAGAATAAAAGAATAAAGAAAATAAAGATAATCTGATTTATATTTGGATTTCTGTAAGTGTGACATACTGAAGCTAATTTTCTTAAAAATGGGATTAAACTGTTACATAGTTCACTTTTTCTTCACAGTAATTTTATACATCTCTTCCTGTCTCTACATAGATCTAATGCATTATTTTCAATTGATTTGGAGTATTCCACTAAAAGCTGAGTTATTTTATTATTTAAATTAAGAAATGAGGTCATGCTAAAATTAAAATCTTTAAAAGGTAAAAAAATGATATCAAGTCAAACTCATAAAAATATTAAATGGCTTAAAAATTCAAAAAAATGATGGGATTTATAATTTTACTGTCTTTTAACTTAGGTAGAACTTTATAACAATCCAGATCTAAACTGCAGACATGTCTATTTGCCATTTATTGAATGCCTGTTATGTGCTAGGCAGAGTATCAAACACGAAATGATGAATAAGACGAGAGTTCTGCTTTTTAAAAAGCTTAAAGAGAACTAATGGAGAAACATGCAAACAGATCTAAAAAACCCCAAAAAACAAAACAAGACATAATTAAGATGCTGAAGGGACAGAGAAGAGAGATCCACTACCTCTGCTTGGGAAATATGGGAAAGATATCTCTATAAAAGAGGTAACAGATGAGCAGGGCCTTGAAGAAAAAGTATAAACTTGCCAAGTAGAGAAGAGATTGATCAAGGCAGGAAGACATGATGAGACATGACCAATGCAGACAGTAGTGAATTTGGAGATAGGGAGCAAGGCAGAAGTGACAAGAAGTAAGGCTGGAGACAGGTACTGGGCCTGGACTGAAGGGTCTCTATATAAGCAACACTCAGGGGTTGGTCCTTATCCCATAGGTAATAGGGAACAAGCAGAGCTCTTTAAACGGAGTAAGCTTTGCTATTTAGATAGATAACTGGCAATGACCAGAGTGGAGAAGGGTTGATGGCAGGGAGATCAGTGAGAAGTCTGATTTAACAGTCAAAGCAAGAGATAGAGAAGCATTTGAGATTATTTCTGTATCTGTATGTTGAGAAATGCATAGAAAATGGCAATATATAAATCAAACAGAAAGAGTGGTTACATGGGAAAAGTAGAATTGGGAGAGAAAAAACATGTGATTTTTTACTTTATAAACTTCTGATGGGTCTGAATTCTTTTAAAAAAAATAAGCACTCATTACTTCTTTAATAACAGTAGTAATTTTTTAAGGAAGAGGTAGTGAAGGCACTCATGGTCAATGACAGTGGGGATGGAGTAGATGGCTAGATCTGAAAGACATTTCAAAAATTATAATACAAGTTGGTAATCTGGAAAAGGCAGAAGAAAAG